TTTATTTTATTTTATTTTATTTTATTTTATTTTATTTTATTTTATTTCAAGACAGGGTCTCTAACAGCCCTGTTGTCCTGGAACTCACTCTGTAGACCAGGCTGGCCTTGAACTCACAGAGAACCACCTGCTACTGCCTTTCAAGTGCTGGGATCAAAGGCGTGTGCCACCACACTGGGCTGGGTCTGCAGGGTTTGTAGACCCTGAGATTCTGCAGAGGGGAGAGGGAGGAGCAGAAAGGGAGAGAGATTGATTTAGGAAGGGTTGATATGGGGACAGTGGTAGAAACAGGAAAGCAAGGAGGTATTTGGAGTGGGAAGAACCTTGGGAGGAGAGAGGCAGCAGGGGACTAAGCAGAGAAGCCGAAGACCTTGAGTTTCAAAGACCAGGGAAGAGCAATTATTAAAAAGGAGACAGTGGTTAAAATGATAAAAGCCATATAAAGGTCAGCACTCAGGAAGGAACATTTTCCACTGGGTATCTGTGACTAGTTCATTAGTGGCCTTGGCAGATACAGAAGAGTGGATGAGAAGAGAACGGAGCGATTCAGAACGGGAGGCTGTTTTTTTTTTTTTTTTTTTGTGTGTGTGTGTGTTGTTTGTCTGCTTTTAAGACACAGAATACACATATGAATATATATGTGTGTAATGACTGCACAATGGAGATGCCGAGAAGAGGGGACTGAGCAACCAGGGAGCACAGGGACCTGTTCTCTGATGTGCTGTGAGCACAGACAGCGCTACAGCCATGGTGGAGGATGGGGAGAAGTTTGTGGGAATGTCCACTTGTTAGTTATGATTTTCACTTTTGTTGTTGTCTGCTTTTTAGACAGGGTCTCATGTTTTCCATGTTGGGTAAAGCTTACTACATAGCCAGGAATGATCCCAAACACTTCTAACCCTCATACCTCAGCTTCTTTTTTTTTTTTTTTTAAAGATTTATTTATTTATTTTATTTGTGAGTGCACTATCACTGTCTTCGGACACACCAGAAGAGGGCATCCAATCTCATTACGGATGGTTGTGAGCCACCATGTGGTTGCTGGAATTTGAACTCAGGACCTCTGGAAGAGCAGTCAGTGCTCTTAACCACTGAGCCATCTCTCCAGCCCATGCCTCAGCTTCTTGAGTGCTGAGATTATAGATGTGGACTGTAATGGGTTTATGTGGTACTGGGGTTTAAGTCCAGGATTTCATATATGATAGGAAAAGAATCTATCAACTGAGCCATATCCTCTTTTCTCAGAGTCCCTGAGTATTGGCAGTGGGCACAGAGAAGTGGGCCTAGCTTGGAACCCTGGCAACAACTTAAGTTGTTGAAGTTCATGCCTTTGTCTGTCAGGCTTGGGGTGGAAGTTGGAATGTAGGATGGATGTCAGCAGAATGCATCCTGTATCCCTTGAATCCCCTATACACGTCTCCTCCCCCCCCCCTCTCTCTCTCTCTCTTCTCTTCAGTTCCTCCTTTCTGTCTTTCTTTTTTTATTAAATTCATTATTTTATTTTATTCTTTTTATTATTTATTTATTTCCCCTTCCTTCTCCCTCTTGCTCCAGCCCTTCTTGCTCCGGCCCAGAGGTTTTTATTTATTTATTATATGTAAGTACACTGTAGCTGTCTTCAAACACCCCATAAGAGGACATCAGATCCCATTACAGATGGTTGTGAGCCACCGTGTGGTTGCTGGGAGTTGAACTCAGGACCTCTGGAAGGACAGTCAGTGCTCTTAACTGCTGAGCCATCTCACCAGCCCATTATTTTATTTTTAAGCTACTAAATTTTTACTTTTTTTGTTTATTTATTTACAATATGTATATAAGTATTTGTCTGGATTATGTCTGCGCACTATGTGTCTGCCTAGTGCCAACAGAGGCATCAGATCCCCTGGGACTGGAGTTAAGACAATTGTTAGCTGCTATGTGGATGCTGGGAATCGAACCCAGGTCCTCTGGAAGAGAAACCAGTGCCCTTAACTGCCAAGCCATTTCTCTAGTCCCAAGTCTCATCTATTTCACTATGAGGGATTTAGATTTTTATCTTACCTTTTCTTCTAGACCTTGGAAAGCTGGGGGTTAGTTAGTGTATTTTTCCTGCTGAGGACACAGGTATCAAAGATAGTTTCAATAAGTAAATATCAGACACATAGAAGTTTGCTCTCTGATCCCTGGTCTTTCAGACATGCGACTCCTGGCTGCAGGTCCTCTCAGTGCTGACTCTGGGATCCTACCTGGAGAATAATCAGTCCTCTAAGAACTCGCTAAGTGTGTCTTGTCTCGTGACTCAGGCTGGCATGCAGCTCTGGGCTGAGCACCTGCTCCCCGAGTCTTGGCCAGCTGCACATCTTTGGTAGGTGAGACATTTCCTGGGCAGCTTGTTGCCTGCAAAGGGCTTTGAAAGAGCTTCACATAGTCATGAGAGTTAGAACTTTAGGAGAAAGAATATAATCACTGGGGACAGAGCTCTGAATTATAGTTCTGACACTTTGGAACCAAGTCACTCTGGGGCAGTTACTTATCCTTTCTTGTTTTTGTCCATCTGGGAAATGGCTTGCTGAGAGACTGAAAGATAATAAAATGTGAACTAAAAGTGTTCACTGACTCTCAAGACCTGTAGAAGTGTTGGCTGGTGCCATGTTCCCCACCATTATCTCTGATGTAATCTAATTTGACCAGGACTCCTTATTTATTGATAATTGATAATGACACTTATAATCATTACTGACACCCAATTGATTTTATTTTTTTTCCACAGTACTGGGGATTGAACCTGGGATCTAGTACATGCCAGGCAGGTGCTAGCTCATAACTGACGTTTACTGACTAATTAGCATTCTACATAGATTGTCTGACCTCAGTTTCTTCTTCTGTACAATGGGGACAGCACACCTCAGACTGAAATAGGCCGTAAAAGGGGCCAATGAAGATGCATTTCATGAGCAAAAGAAAGTGCTGTGCTTACCTTTTAATGTTAGTTCTTGCTGCCCTGCATCATAAGATGTCACATCCTCATGGACACACGAATCTTTTAGAACTTAGAGAGATAAGCTGGCTTGCCTTATATCACCAGCTAGTGATTTGCAGGGTCAAGATTCTGTCTGAAGCTCAGACTTTTATCTCTCAGTGGGATTGGGTCTGCCAGAGGTACAAGGTGGTAATCTTAGAGCCCAAGTAGATTCATTCAAGTCAGGCAGTCACCAGTGTTTGCTCTTTGGTAAGTACTGTGGTGGCTGCTTCAGGGAGAGACAGTCATCAGTTATAGAAACTTTTGGACGTAGAGGTTGAGCATCCCAAATCCAAAATGTTTCCAACTCTAAAACTTTCCCCTGCCAGTGGAAGGCCACAAGTGGAAAATTCTTACAGGATCAGTCTAAGTGAAGCCACAGGTACACTAACAATAGTGATAAATTGATCTTTAGGCTATGAATACAAAAGTATATATAAAACACAAATGAATTTTACGTGTAGATTCGGGTCCACCCTCAAGATATCTTATGTATATATACTTATTCCAAAATTTCAAAAATATGTGTAATTCAAAACACTTCTGCTTCCAGGGCTTTTGATGGGGGAAAGGTATCTTGTAATTTGTAACACTAACCTTGAGTCCTGGTCTTTCTTGTAACAGCCTCCCTGGTCTCAGTTCTTAGGTACTTGGTGGCTTCCTCCAATTTTACTTACCTTAACCTGTCCTTCCTGGGAGGGGCCTCAGGACTAGTTCATTGCTTGGCTTTTCCAACTCATGAATACCTCAGGACTTTGTAGGCTAATGCCATCTTTCTTTATCATGTGCTATGTCATTGTGTGCCATTCTGGTGGCCACACTTATCTCAGGTGCATATTACTGTACTGGCTTACCCATGATGCCTTACACTGGGCATGTGATTTGACAGCAGATGGGAGTTTGTTCCTGGCTTACGCTGAGACTCTCCTGAGGCCAGGAACCAAGTCACTCACTGGATTTGTTATCCATTCTATCTCACTAGAGAAAACAACATATGTGCCATTGGAAGAAGGAAATGGTGTGTCCTCCGTAAACAGGGGACGGTGCCAATTAAGGCATCCAGCAAATGGTTTTCAAATGGGTAAATAAAGTCCGGAGGCTCTTGAGAACACTAAAGAAAGGCTAAATATAGTGTCCGTTTAAACACCTTTTTTGTTTTAAACTATGTTTGTGCTTTTTTTGGGGGGGGTCTGGTTCTTGTCATAAGAGTGAACCCCCAGTAGACTGTACGGTTCCTGAAGCCCATGCTTAGAAGGCTAGACTTATCTTTGATCACTCCCAAGGTCTACAGAAACAGTGCAATCAGAATTCATTTCCATTTGCCCCTCAGACCAGGCCAGTGGCGGAAGCATCGACTGGGCTTATGACCTTGGCATCAAATACTCATTTGCCTTTGAACTGAGAGACACAGGCTTCTATGGCTTCCTCTTGCCAGCCAAGCAGATCTTGCCCACAGCAGAAGAGACCTGGCTTGGCCTGAAGACCATCATGGAGCATGTACGAGACCACCCCTATTAGAGATCTGGAGAATAGACAAACACCATTAAAATCTCTGTGTTGTAAAGCACAACTGGCTTCTGATCATTCCTTTTTTTATCCTTAATCTGGAAACAGTATTTAAGCACCCCTCCTTGCTCCCCACCTCCCAGGAGCTGGGATTTGAACCCAGGGAGTTGTACTTGCTAGGTGAGCACTTCCCCACTGAACTTCATTTTCAGCTCCTGATTCTCTGACTTCTGTTGTTCCAAAGCCACAAATCCCTGGGCTGTACCTGTGTATTTTTCTTTAGCTTGTTCTAAGTCAACTATTCCCAGCATCCTTTAGCTTTAAAAAATGTACTAAGTTACACATGATAGAAAATTTACTGTTTTATTTTTTTCAGACAAGGTATTTTGATAGTTGAGGTTGGACTTGAACTCTTATCTTTCACCTCTTAAGTGCCAAGGTCACAAGCATATGCTACCATACCCAGCTCTTGGTTATTTTGCAGGGGGAGTGGTTAACAAAGATATTTTAATATTTGTGCTGAGCATGAGGGTTAAGAGAAAGAGGGATGGGGAGACACAGCTTAGCACGGAAGAGCACTGGCTGCTCTTGCAGAGGACCCCAGTTTGATTCCCACCCACATGGTGGTTCACAACCATCTGTAACTACAGCTCCAGGGCGTGTGAAGTCCTCTTGTAACCTGAAGGTTACATGGTACATGGTAACCAGGCAGGTGCATGATACACAGACATACATGTGGGCAAAACACTCACTTAAAAATGAAACAAATCTTTAAAAAGAAAGAGAATTTGAGGAGCTCAGAAGAAAGTAAGACACACCCAAGGGTTTGGTATAAGCTTCTTAAAGAAAAGTCCCAGAAAATAAGAGAGACTGAAGTGTGGTGTGGGCCCTCTCGGGAGAGTTGTCACTTGATCATACTTTTTTTTTTTTTTTTTTTTTTTTGAGACAAGGTCTTTCTGTGTAAACCAGCCAGTCTAGCTTGAACTCACAGAGATCTGCCTGCTTCTGCCTTCCAAGTGCTGGGATTAAAGATGCAAGCTATCATGCTTGGCCTCTTGAGGATGATGATGGTGATGATGATGATTCTTCCTTTCTTCCTCCTCCACTTCCTCTCTTCCTCCTCCCCTCCTCCTCCTCTTTCTCCTCCCCTCCTCCTCCTCTTCCTCCTCCTCTTCCTCTTCCCTTCCTCTTCTTCTTTCTCCTCTTTCCTCATCCTCTTCCTTTAAGACAGGTTTCTCTGTGTAGCCTTGGCTGTCCTGGAACTCACTCTGTAGACTAGGCTGGCCTTGAACTCTTAGAGATTTGCCTGCCTCTGCCTCCCAAGTGCTGGGATCAAAGGTGTGCGCCATCCCTGCCCGGCCACCCTTGATTTTTTTTTATTACAATTTATTTTTTCTCAAATCCTTGATTATTTTTAAGGACACAATTCAACGGCATTAAGCGTGCTCACTATGCTATGCCTATATCACCAATGTCCAGCTCCAGAATGCTTTCATATCACCTCAGACTGAAATACGTACGCACTCGTTAACTGGTAAACCACCATTGCCTTCTCCTGCCGGTCTCTTATAAGCATTATTGTACTCTATGAATTTTGCTATTCAAGGGACATCAGAACCAAAATCCCATAGTGTGGGCCTTATTTCACATAGCATAATTTTGTAACAAGCCTCAGTCTTTCATCTTTTGTGGTGTGTATGTGTGTGTGTATGTGTGTGTGTATGTGTATGTGTATGTATGTGTGTTTAAGTAGGGTCTCATTAAGTAGCCCAGGTGATCCTCCTGTCTCAATACATCAAGTGCTGGGATTTCAGGCATAGACTGAGCCTCTTTATTTTAAACAGTACAGCATTTCAGAGTCAGCAGTGAACTTAAGTTCCTTCATGCATTCAACACTATCAAGAATAAAGTGCCAGGCGTCTGGCTTCTGTGTACCCTTTGGTCCTGTTGCCCGCCCTCATGCCACGTTACATTTGTCTCTGAGCTTGCACACAGATTCTCCTTAGACCTTCATCTCAGCTAGTGGTTGAGACTTATTGATTTGTTTGCTTATTGATTTGTTTGCTCATTGATTGACTGATTGATGGTATTCCTTGAGAGACAGTGAAGATTAGGTTTCAGCATCTAGAATTCTGGGCACTTAGTTCTTTCTATCATTCTTCTAGCTGACTCTAGTCTTTGTTTTTCTTACTATTAACTTCAAGGAGATGGTCTGTCTTGGTGTGAACTAGAGCCCTGTCTCTGTGGTGGACAGAACAGGCATAGGTTGGTGTCAGTGTTGGGCGGACACAGAGCTCTGAGACAGGCTGAGAAGATAGGGAGCACGGTTCTGCCACATCTCATGGAGGCTGCCTCTTGGGATCCAGTGCCTTATTTGTTTGTTTGTTTATTTATTTATTTAAATTAGTCTGGTTCTTGGGCCCTGCCAGAACCAATATTAACAAAGACATAGCAAGTCATACTACTCCATCTATAAAGATATTGTTAATTTCTTATCTCTAACTGCTAATGATAAGTCTTTGACCTGCCTCTAGCATGATTCCTCTTAGGGAAGCTTAGCAATCATCCCCCTCCCTTGGTGCTTCCTCTTAGTAATGTTCTGTCTACTGTTCCCCTCATCCTACTGTCCTGGTTGCATTTGGCCTGGAGACTAAACTAAGCCTCCTACTGCTGTAGTCATGAGTTCCCTGATAATGATCTTTAGTAATGTCCTTCTCAATGTTTTAACAAATGTCAGAATAGATTTCAACACTCCCAGCCATGATCCTTCATTCTATGTACTGTCCTTCAGCAGGTGTGGAAAGAGTGAGTCCATGTGGACAGTGGGAGGGAGTAAGATGGCGGCATACACCTTAAACACTTGAGAGGCAGAGGCAGAGGGGCAGAGGGGCAGAGGGGCAGAGGGGCAGAGGGGCAGAGGGGCAGAGGGGCAGAGGGGCAGAGAGGGGCAGAGAGGGGCAGAGAGGGGCAGAGAGGGGCAGAGGGGCAGAGGGGCAGAGGGGCAGAGAGGCAGAGGCAGAGAGGCAGGGGCAGAGGTAGAGGTAGAGGCAGAGGCAGAAGGGCAGAGGCAGAGGCAGAGGCAGAGGCAGAGGCAGAGGCAGAGGCAGAGGCAGAGGCAGAGGCAGAGGCAGAGGCAGAGGCAGAGGCAGAGGCAGAGGCAGAGGCAGAAGGATCACTGTGAGGTTAAAGCCAGCCTGGTCTACATAGTAAGTCCCAGAACTGCCAATACTACAGAAAAGACCC